ACTCATTAGATTTAGCTAGTCGAATAACGTGAAATTTGGTAATTAACCCTAGTTCCTGTGGGATCGACCTTGATAGCTATAACGAGTCTGTGCGCTTGCGGATTTACCTATCAGGGAGAAAGAGAAAAGGAGAAAACTATTAAAGAAAACAAAGAGAAAACTAAAAAAGAAGACTTGGAAATAAGAAAAGAAAAGGAAGTAAAAAGAAAAGAAAAATCAACAAAATAAAATCAAGAAGACATAATTCAAGAGAGAGAGAGAGAGAGAGAGAGAGAGAGAAGAGAAGGAAGTAGGAAGAAAATAAAAACCAACAAAATAAAATCAAGAAGACAGAAATTGAGAGAGAGAGAGAGAGAGAGAGAGAGAGAGAGAGAGACATAATTCAAGAGAGAGAGAGAGAGAGAGAGAGAGAGAGAGAGAGAAAGACTCAAATCAAGAAAGATTGAGAAAAAAAATAAGTAGAGAAGTTAGACATCTAGAATTGAATACACTAGATAATTTAATTAGGGTTTATAAAATACTCTATTTTATTTTTTGTAATTTATATTTACTAAACATAGATTATCTAGTCACTTAAAGAAAGCGTAACCTATCAAATTATTATCCAAGCAAAAATTCTCATTCAAAAAAAGAATAAACAACTAGATAAAAATCCTAGAAATGAATAAGCATAACCTATCAAATTACTCAAAATAAGTATAGATTATTAAAATCTTTTTCTACCAATTAGTTCTCTAGTTGATTATCCTAAATATAATCATTTTAAGCATAAAAGGAACAATCCATAAACCATAAAAAAATTAAACTAGTTTCATACAATTCTAGATTTCCTACAAGAATTAGTTATATATTTTATGAAATAAAAATAAGAAAATAAAATCCATACTAGTAAGCATAAAAAACAAGAAGTAAATCTAAAATATAAGCAATAAAAGAAAAAAAATAGAAAATCAAAGCATAAAAAAGTAGGTAAATAAATTTACTATACAAAGCATGAAGAAAAATTACATTACAAGCATGAAATAAATTTAATCTACTAAACATGAAATAAAAATAAGAAAATAAAATCCTAAAACATGTAATTCTAAAATAAAAAAATAAAAGGGAAACTAAAAACTTATATTGCAAGGTTGCCCCCTTGAAGACAAATTTTTATTTTCATCAACAAAGAAGAAGAAGGACAAAAATAAAAAACGAAGAAATTTTTTTATTTATTACAAATAAAATATTTACAATTTGAAAGACTTTCTCAATTCAGAGTGACTATCCTCTCCAAAAAGGAGTTTAAAAAATTTTTTACCTCTCAACCCCTCACTTTCCACCCCTATTTATAGCCTGCTGTAATCAACAAAAGCCCTTGGATCATTTTTGATTATCAAGAAAATCAAAATCAACCATTGAATGAATTCTGTTATAATCTAATTGATGGCCTAATCGACGGGCTCATCGATGTGTTCATCGATTAGTTTGTAACAAAATTATAATAAACTTTGTTGACTCTACCTTTAGGGGCTTTTTAAGCTTCTTGACTTGATCTTGGGTTTTAATAAACTGTTAAAAATTGAGGAAATTTAAATTTTTGGGCTGTTATTCATTAATTCTCCATTACTTGCAAATAAAGATAAAAACTCATTATTAGTTGATATATTTACTCAAATAAAATATATAATGAGGGTATAAAAATGTAATAAAATGCGATGATCAACTAGTGATTATTGTTACAACGCAGCCGGGCTATCAAATTAAGATAAGAACAAAAATCCTAAGTGGACAGGAGAATCAAGTGAAAGAGATCATAAATAAAGATAATCTAGATACGCAATTCACTGAGCAAAAGAACGAATTGAACTATATAAAAGTATAGAGACGGAAAAAGAAATGATTTAAAGACCTCCTTTGTATATAAAAAATAAATTTGTGATTCACGTACTATTATCCTTACATCTCAAAAAAAAAAAAAAAAACTACCACATGTCTTTCCTAATTTTGAATTTGAAAATTTAAAATGAAAACTATCCACATGCTTATTTAATATTTTCTTTATTTTCTAACTTTTAATATTACAAAAAGGGATATTATAAAGGTGGCATTGGTGGTTAAGCCATCCAATTTAAATTTCTGATTGCTTCTAATTGACATCAAGATTCATGTAGGTATTTATTGAGAGATGATATTTTGCAACAACTATTTTTTAGATCATTCAATTTTCTTGGAAGTTCCGGATATTAAAAAAAATTGCCTACAAAACCTAAAAAACTAAAACTGCCATAAAATAGAACTGTCCTTTAAATCCACCAGTCTAATTGCCTAATACGTATATAGATTTCTAAAGAGTTAATTTCAATAACCCCCTGAACATTAGGGTTTTTCTCGCATAATCCCCTAAACTTGAGGGATAATCACTCTTACTTCTAATTAGTTTAAAATTCTAATTGATTCTTAGGATATTTTAGGAAGGTATAAGTATTTTGATCCAGCCAGATTTAATTTGAATCTGAAATTCTAATTGACACCAAGACTTATCAAGGTATTTACTTAGAGACGATATTTTTACAACATCTATTTTTTAGATTTTGCTATTTTCTTAGAGTTTTTATTAAAAAATCTTACCTCCAAATCCTTAAAAAAACAGAACTCCTGCCAAATGGAAAACCAAACCAGCACGCGGCATAAGAGCAAGTGCACCAAGCTCCCACCGCCGCTCTCAAGGCCTACGTGGCTGTGGGAGCTCGTGAACCCCCCTCCAACAAACTCCCAGCAAGCTCCCAAGGGGCTCCCTGAGCTGATGTGGCCATTGGGGCCCACCGGAGCTCTTGGGAGTGTTGGCCTTCTTGTTTTGATGATGTTTAACAAACAATTTACCACTAATGTTGTTTGTCTAGTATTTGTGTTTTCTTATTTATTATAGACAAACAACGTAGTTGGAGGATGGATGGAATAGAGCTTCAATGATCATATCCAATGGAGGTTGGCGGAATAGTGGAGTGAAGCCTTGCAATTCAAAGTTAAAGATCAAGTTCAAGCTTCATCCGCGAGATTACCAAGTCAAGCATATTGAAGACCAATCAAGCTTGGGTAAATTAGTTTAGGGCTTATATTATGTGTGTTAGATACTCTAAGCTCAATATATTATACACACATTTATTGGTTTCTTCACATATATATAGTTATATATATACATAAGTTTTGGTTTCTATGCATATATATAGTTATATATATACATACATGTGTTGAGTTTTTATGATTATATATATGAAATTATATATTTCATATTTTCTATTGTGTTTTTGAAAACATTGCATAGAATATGCAATTTTGTGAAAATATTATATTCTTAGTTTGTAGACTTCAATATCAGTTTATACATGTTTTACTAAGTCTATAAAAACATTTCACAAAGTTTCAAAAGTTGGTTTATGTCAAAACATCAAAATTCAAGTATCTCATATTTTCATGTTTTGGACTATTTTGTAAAATGATGATATTTTTCATTTGGGAGGTCCTTTCTGATAACCAGTTATTGTAGCATGTTTATTATCATGTCTACAATCATTCCCCAAAGTTTTACATTTTTTGGAATTTATTTGATATTTTTAAACAGGGTTTTAAAATCAGAAAAACAGTTTTTCATGTATCAGTTTTCGGTCGACCGATCCGGTCGACCGCACCGGTCGACCGACGATTGTCCAGAACAGTTCTTCATGTTTTTGTTCTTCGCGGTCGACCGCGAATATTTTCGGTCGACCGCCAATAGATCCGTTGGTTCCCAACGGCTATTTTTCTGAGCTGTTTTCTTGGGGATCTTTTGTCTTTTGCTTGAGGTTTTTGTTGAGATCTTGAGTGGGTATAAATACCCCATTGCTGATCTCTTTTTAAAAAATCTAAGAAGTTTTTAAAAGAAGTTTTTAAACAAGGGTTTAAGCTTGTTTAGTTTGGTTTAAGTTTGTTTTGGGTTTGCTGTTACAAAGAGGAGTTCACATCAACTATTGAAGAGTTCATCTTCAACATTTCATCATCCTCTCTTTGTGTTTTTAGAGAAGTTTTCTTAACTCTATTTCCTAGCATTTCTACTATTGTATTTCATATCAATCTTATTGCTAGTTCTTATTGAGTTAAGTTTTTATTAAATCCCATTGTTACACACACCCACTTGAGCTTATTGTATTTGCATACATAGTATATTAGGGTTGTGAGAGATTGTAACATTGAGTTATGCTTAATTGAGTTCTCATCTATTGTAGAGAACAAATTTATATTTGTTACATTGTGAGTAGTGTGTTGTGAAGTTTTCGGTGAACTAGAAAACCGAGTGTGAGGAGTGAACGTTGTTCGGTGAGCATTGAAAACCGACACTGTGAGGTGTAAACGTTATTCGGGTGAGCGTAGAAAACCCGGTTGTGATAGTGGATTTCTCCCCGGGAGTGGGGAGCGGAGACGTAGGACGGAAGATATCTCATTGTTCATATTGCTTATCCTAGCTTATATTTTTGTTGTATTTCATACTTGCTAGGATAATTTGTTAATTAGTTTTTAATTGGCATAAAATCGGATTAGATTAGCATAAGATCCTAATCACCCCCCTCTAGGGGCTAACAGGGAGCTCCCAAGCATTAAATTTTTTTTTACAAAAACCCCCCTACTTTTAAACCCGAAACCCAAGTTGAAAATAGTTGTTAAATGGAAGAAGGTTTTTTGATATTGTTACAAAACTAAAATAAAAATGGGTTTTTTTTGATATTGTGAAGCTCCTAACTAGGAGTTTGTTGGAGATTAATATTAATTAATAGGATGATGTGGTATGGGAAATGATGGGCTATGCCTTGAGAGCTCTTGGGAGCTTGCTGATTAGGACTCCAACTGGGAGCTTGCTGCACTTGCCCTAAGGGCAAAGTGAAAAGTCCGAAAGTGTGCAAAGTGTGCCTAAAACTTAACGGGTCGGATTCCGTCTTATATAAGGAGCTGTCTGTCCAATAAATAAAATCCCTCGATAAATCCTAGGGTTTCCCGCTTCGCTCCAAAAATGCACTCTTTCTTGTTCTTCTCTTGTCCCTTCGTCGTCGTATCCCTTCTCCTCGTCTCTTGCTTTCTCCAACCAATGGCGCTTCTTTATATACCTATCGTCTCGCATCGCGAGGAGGAAGTGGATGAGGAGCGCTTGATTCTGAGTTGGCGCGATCTAGGGTTTCAGATTCTTGGATTTCTTAAGTTGGAGGTAATTCAAGTACAAATTTCAAAGGCGTTTTTAAAATGTATGCGTTTGAATGGAAGTGGGGGAAGTTTCGGAGGTTGACGTGGTTCTTTGCTTTTGATTGGGTCCCGCTGCTAGAGAGGGGCACTAACTGAGTTGCTGCAAGTGAAAGACTTGTCTTTTTTTTTTTTCTTTTTGCGATTGAAAATAATTGAATATCTGCTAAAGTTTATGAGGAGAACAGCGGCATAGTTTGGATGTGGTTCAGTTATGTTTCATTTGTTAGTTTGAGCCTTTAATTTGTTACTGTTGCCTCCTTATACATTTATATAAGCACTTTGGTTATTATGATGGGAGCGTTGGTCGACGGAGTGTAATCAGGGTTTTGTTTCTACAAGGGTTTTATTTTAAACTAGCCAAAGCTTGTCATGTGATTTGAGGCTTTAAGATCAAAATCATCAGGAATCTGAAAATTAGAGGATACCTTGCTTGATCTTGCACTGTTTTATTAAATATGTGTGTGTGCGTGTGGGAGTATGGTGGGTGCGTGAGTCAGTGAGTGTGTGTGTTGTGTGCGGTGCAAACACACACACACATGCGCACACGAGTGAACGGGTGTGTTTGTTGTGTGTGCAATGGGATGTACGTGTGTGTTTCCACGTGTGCGTGCGGGTGCGCGCATGCGCAAATGTGTCTCCATTTGTGCTCACATCACGCATAAACTGTGTGTAATTTTCTTGAAAGAAAATAGCTAGGAAAATAGCTGCTATATTTAATCTTAGCTAATTTATATTACTCTTTACTTTTAAGTAATCCAGTAATTGAGATATTTCATCATTGTGGTCACTCACTGTGTAAAATAATCACAACAAAATCATGTATGAAGGATCACTCTAGTTAGAAGTGTTGATTAATGAACCACTCATGACATGACCACAATCGGGTAACATTGACAAGCAGAATAGCTTGAAGCCTTGAACTAATTTGAATGTGAGTTGAGCTAAGGTTGTGCCATTTAGATCAAGTGGTCGTTGAGAACAGTATGCTGCTCGGTGAAAGTTTCAGGTTTTCAGTAATCTTGAACAAGTTTAGATTCCTTTTGCAGATTGTTGAAAACCTTAATTTATCCAAATTGACTCTCATGATTTATTTTTTGTGTCTGCAGAAAATTACATATCGAATCAGTGTGTTTTAAGCAGCAGGAGAGGAGATATGGACGATAAATCAATTGCACTTGAAGCAATTAACAAGGAAGCTGTTGATCTTGTATGTAGATTTTATAAGTTTTTAAGATTCTTCTTCAAGCTGACATTAATATTCTCTTTATGCATACGTGGATGCTAATAAAGGTTACAGGATTTGGAACTTTGAACTTATCAGCTATCTACTTTCGCTTTCTTGTTGTCTAGTTGTTTTTTTCTTAGAAGGCTGATGCTTACATGCATGGAGTCATCCCTCTCAAGTGTTCACTTGTTTGTGATTATTCGCGATAGCAGTATCTAGGCAATCTATTCAGAATTACCTATATGTGTTTCTTGTTATTTTTGGAGCTACAATCGCAGTCTAATCGCACATTTTATCCTAGACGCCCTCACAAAATTGAAGCTATGATTCACATTTTGATATCTTCTGCTCCCCTTAATCTGTGTATAGAGTTTAAGTTCTATAACAGTTCCAAGTTCATTGTCTTTTATTCCTATCAATAAAGCTGCATAAGTGTTGAGCTTGGCTTGCACTTTGCATCTACTTAATTTTGCACCTACCTTCCCTATTATATACATTTTTTCATGTCTATTTAATGTTCTCACAAACACTTTGCATATAAGTTTTGGGGAATCACCTACCTTTCCTTTGTTATGTTTATTGTTCATCAATCTAGGAGTTTTCTGAGCATCGACCTTTGATTTTGGACCAAATGTTGCAGGAAAATATACCAATTGAAGAAGTTTTTGAGAGCCTTAAATGCACACAGGAAGGCTTAAACTCTGATGCTGTTCAAGAGCGTTTGGGTGTCTTTGGTTTTAACAAACTTGAAGAAAAGAAGGTTGGATTAAGGATATCAAGAAGCAGCAATATAGCTCACATTTTCTTAATATTAGATATTTGCAATGACTTTTTGTTCTTAATTCAATCTTTCCGTCTTTACAGGAAAGTAAAGTATTGAAATTTTTGGGTTTCATGTGGAATCCACTATCATGGGTTATGGAAGCTGCAGCTATTATGGCAATTGCTCTTGCCCATGGAGGGCGTGATGTAAGGGGAGATGTAAGTAATACATGAACCAAGACTATAGAGAAGACCATTCAGGAAGTCTTGGTATTCGAATGTTTTCTAGTAATATTCATCAACATAAAATATGTCAGCATCTGGTTCCTAACGAAGAATATCTGTTTATCCTTCAATATTTTAAAGAGTCTGTGCCACTTTGTCAAAAGTTTCTTTTCATTCCTTTACCATATTTTCTATGGAGAATAAATGTGCATTTCCAACCGGTAGAGAGATTGCTTGGTTTGACTTTGTAGTTTGTATTATCACGTTTGATCTATAAAAACATGTTTTGATGTTTTAGAGTTCGGTAAATAACATACTTTCATAGTCTCCATCATATGTCTTTCTTTTTTGTCCTATTTGACCTTTCTTTAACTTGATAATATTGAGATTCTTTGCACTTTGTAAATGCCCACTATACACTTAAAATGGTTATGTTTGTCGAGCTCTGACCTTAGTTCTTAAACTCTTGCTGCATAACTAAATACAGTATCCATTTTGCAAATTAAACCTCTAAAAGAAAGTTTGTGTTCCCATGCAAACTCTGTTTTTTCAGGTCAAAGTGCTCTTTAATATTTGATTTGCGTGCAAACATTATATTAGAACTGATTATCATCTCTCGGTTGATGATTTAAACTTAGAAAACTGATCATCAATTAACAATACAATCTTTCGGAAAGTGCAAATCATGAAAACTAGATCTTTCCATGTAGTCTGCTCTTGGTGTTTAAATTAAACTGGAGATTTGATGTGAGCAATAATTTGAACAAAGATGTGAGGAGAGAGAAGAATGATAGAAGAAATACGAAATGTTGGAATCTGAGCTCTCGAACCTTTCAAGCTAGACCATAATGTGAGAACTTGGTTAAACCTTAGTGCAATTACTGTTCATACAACACTAGGATGACTACGCACTAGCCGATTCATTTTGTTTATCTTATTTTCAACCTGACAAATGGAATAAAAATTATAGGCTTTTTGCTGATGTAGTGACTTTGTGACAAATGGATTAAAATTATAGATTTTTTGCTTATGTAGTGGCTTTGTGCTGCCAAACTCATTCTTGCAGAAGAGGGGAGTTGATTGGCATGACTTTGTTGGTATTGTGACATTGCTCATTATCAATTCGACCATTAGCTTTATAGAAGAAAACAATGCTGGCAATGCAGCAGCTGCTCTTATGGCTCGGTTGGCGCCAAAGGCCAAGGTCTTTGTTATTCTACTTTTGAAATCTTCCCTGCTACTTATCGTTCTTGATTAACTATCCTATTTATTTAGCTTTTCTATATATATGCTTTATTCACTTGATTAAATTTCTTTAGGTGCTACGTAATGGGAAATGGAGCGAGGAGGATGCTGCTGTTCTGGTTCCAGGTGACATAATCAGTATTAAACTTGGCGTCTTCTTCAAGGAGACCCTTTAAAGATTGATCAGGTATCTGTCTCTTTAGTTCTTTGCCAATAGTTCATTACTAGTTTCCACTTATGTTTTTTTCCTTATCAATGTTTGATCACTAACTATTTTTTCTTCAGGTTAGAAATTGATTCCTATGTGGAACAAAAAGAAAGAAAATAAAACCCTGTAATCATGAAGATATCAGTATGTTACATTACATTGGGAGACTGTTGAGGGTCTTTGGAGAGGCGAAGAAGAAACCTGGTTATAGTTTTTGAAAGAAGTGAAATTCACATGCAAACTGATGATTCTTGATAGAAGCCATGTTTCATAGACTTACATGAGTGTCGTATTCCAATACGAACATGGGATATCAATTTTTCAAAGCATAGACAGGACACATCAACATATGTATACTATTTTTGCTATGGTACATTCACTCACACAAAAATATGTATTGGTTTGTATTCATATAAAACGACCTAGTTTCAGTTAAGTTATCCATAAAACAAGTTATGGACAAAATCATGTACAACTGATGCAGGGAGGGGGATGGGGTCTGTACACCTGTAGGTATGCGCATGCCATATGCATGTGTGCAGCATGAGAGAAGTACTGTCAGGAGGATCCTTCACAAAAGTTTTGAAGGAAACTCTAATATAATAATACGTGTTTGTTGACTTTTCTGGACACGATTTTTACATTGTCAACAGTTAAAATGACTTGGAGCCTGTTCTTCATACTTCTTTCTATCTTCTCTTGATGAGTACTATATCAGAGCCAGACTCTGAATTCTCGCTTCACGCATAACATACAAAATTTGAATATCTGCAGCTCTAACTTAGCTAATTTCGGTTGACGTAACAATCATATATGTATAATAACTTAGTTTCTAAGAGCCACTTAAATGAATGATTTTCGTAAAGTAGTTGGAAGGTCTAGTACATATTCAGCAAAAGAGTTTTAAAGTTCAACTATGACCTGTCTACATGTTAATATCCTTCTTATTCTTCAGAGTTTCTATGTCATAGGTGATAATAGCTGCTAATTCGTTTTTAACATAGGCATGTACAAGCTACTCGTATATTCAGTTTACGTACTTATCATATTTCCCAATTTTCAAGACTAATCTTTTGACTAAACTTTTTTTAAATCCTTGTAATTTAAATTCTTATAGTGATTTTTTGATTTCAAATGTCATGACACTGGTAATTTGAATGAGATGGTAATCTTGATATTTAACGTATGTTAATTTAACTTCTTAGTCTGCACTTACGGGAGAATCACTACCAGTGACAAAGAATCCTGGTGACGGGGTATACTCTGGTTCAACCTGCAAACAAGGTGAAATAGAGGCAGTTGTTATCGCCACTGGAGTTCACACTTTCTTTGGAAAGGCAGCCCATCTTGTAGAATCAACGGTTCATGTTGGCCATTTTCAGAAGGTTAGCTTCATTTTTCAAGTAATAATGTCTTTGGGAGGTTCTGAGTTAATTTGTTGTTTGGAACATGTAAAACTGAAAAGATGCAGTTGGAGGTCTGCTCTTAAGCATAATATTTTGAGTATTGCTGCCTGACACATCGCTTTAATTGACGTATTTCAGGTTTTGACTGCAATAGGGAATTTCTGCATCTGCTCGATTGCTATTGGAATGGTTATTGATATTATTGCTATGTGTGGTGTTCATGATAGCAAATACCGTACGGTAGTTGATAATCTTCTTGTGCTTCTCATTGGGGGGATCCCAATTGCTATGCCCACTGTTCTTTCTGTCACAATGGCTATTGGATCACATCGCTTGTCCCAGCAGGTTTAAGAAACCGATTCTCTCTTATTTTCAGAACCAATTGCTGCAATAATATATGTTACTAAATGTGATTCTCTAACTGATGCAGGGTGCCATAACGAAAAGAATGACAGCCATTGAAGAAATGGCTGGGATGGATGTTTTATGCAGTGATAAAACAGGAACTTTAACCCTCAACAAACTCTCGGTGGATAAGAATTTGATTGAGGTTGCATTATGTTTTTATATATGAAATAAAATTACATGTCTTGTTATAATTTAAGCAAACATGTGAAATATAACCATCATATACCATTAGCTCTCCATGATAATACACATATAGTCAAATATCAGCTAATTTAGGTGAAGACAACTATTTGATTTCTTTTGCCACTAACTTGTGTTGGCTCTTGAGATGGGTGTGGGTGAATCTGGGTGTTCTGATTACTTTTAGGCTGAGAAAGCTACTCGCTGGAGCTGATATAAATACAATTAAGAGTATGAAATTAGTTAATTTACCAATTCATATTTTTAATGGATGTCACATCCTGAACGCATGAAGAAATCTCTCCCCCCTCCCCCCTTCCACCTGTCTGAATAGACCTCCTACTAACTGAATGCAGGCACGTG